GAATTCTTCTTCTAACACTTTGGCACAATTTTCCGATCCATCATTTTGAAGAAAGACATTATAAATATGAAGCATTTGAGGCAACCTCAATTCCTTTTTTAGGTTTCTTTCATAAACCAAACTAGTGATAAAACAAGAAACTAAAAGATTCAATTTCAAGACCTAAAGATATACCTTCAAGCACTCACCTCCCCGACAACGGCACGAGAAGAGAGCTTGATGTCTACACACAACTTACTTTTGAACATCAGTACAGACACAAGCGCTCATATACACGCGCATACACTCACCCCTATGAACGCACACATGCACACCCTACCCCTATGAGCACCTCCGAAAGACTGAGTCGGCATATCATCTTGAGATTTACGAAGTCACCGTAGGCACCTCGTCGTCAACGGGAACGTCTCCTCCCACTGAATGTGCACCGCCGGAAATCCTGAAATAAATCCAGGAATAAATGTGAGCATCAGGATTTGAACCCTAGTGGACTGGGGATACCACAGTCCCTCTAACCGTCCAACCACAGGTTGGTTCGCTACACACAACTTATTCTTGTAGACTTGTGTTGGGCCTCCAAGCATAGAGTTTTGTAGGACAATAGCAATTTTCCCTCAAGTGGATGACCTAAGGTTTATCAATCTGTGGGAGGCGTAGGATGAAGATGGTCTCTTTCAAACATCACTACAATCAAATACAAGAAATCTCTTATGTCCCCAACACATCCAATACAATGGCAAATTGTATAGGTGCACTAGTTCGATGAAGAAATGGTGATACAAGTGTAGTATGAGTACTAGATATAGGTTTTTTTATCTAAAAATAACAAAATAGCAAGGTAGCAACTAATAAAAGTGAGCACAAACGGTATTGCAATGTTTAGAAATAAGGCCTACGGTTCATACTTTCACTAGCGTAATCTCTCAACATTGCTACATAATTGAATCATATAACAATCCCTCAACATGCGACAAAGAGTCACTCAAAAGATCTTATCTAGCGGAGAACATAAGATGAAATTTTTGTAGGGTACAAAACCACCTCAAAGTTATTTTTGTAGGGTACGAAACCACCTCAAGTTTACCTTGCATTTAGTGCATATAAAATCAAAACTCTACTACAACTACATGTGGGTGTTAGTTAGCAAAGAAGGTGTACAAATCATTTGTGTGTTGCTTTGCGAGTTTTTAGTCATTATCCGAGAAGCGGGGAGAAGTTTCAAACATTTCGGCCACGAGGTGCGGCCATCAGCGTAGTTAGTTGGTATTTCAATTACAGGAAATTCAGAGGGAGTCCGGGCATCATCAAAATCGGGGCGTGCCCGTGGCATGCTCTCACGACCCCGTGGAAAAAAGGTGGTAAAGTTTTCGCACAAGTTTTGATGATCGCTCCTTGGAAACTGGAGCATCTCACAAGAAGGATCATGGTTTCCGAAAGGAGACGTGTCAATTCAAACTCCAGTGTCCGGTGACTTCATTGTTTGGCCTTATAAAAATTCCCCAGTACGCAATCACCATTATACCATGGGTTTGATTTTCTGGCGCATTTCAAGTATCGTTAGCTATATTTAAGACATTTATTGAATTTAACGTGCATTTTGTGCATATAAATAAAATCACAACCGCAACTGCATGAGTTTTCGAAAGGGATGAGGATTACCGTTCAATCTGGGAGCATCCAGCGGTGCAGACGTACGATCCATGGGGTTTGGGTTCTGGCCAATCAGAACGCATGACTCAGAGACCACGCGCAGCAGGGCGGCATCGGCCACAGGTTGGTAGGCACACAGATTTCATGAGTGAACCGTGTGCTATTTGAAAACATTTACATTAACTAACAACATATTTTCGTTTGTATGAAAACATAAGTTCATCGTTTCGCCCCGAATTTTTTCCAAAGTAAGAAATCACCATTGTACCCTAAGGTTCGATTTTTTGGTGCATCTGAGATCTCGTTTGCTATATTTTAGTCACTTTTTCGCATTTAACATGCATATATATTTGGGCTATTCTGTTTCGCGCAACAGAATATTATTCTGTTACCCTACTTGAACTAATGGTTTTACGCGGTTGTAGTGATGATTTTCATCTTGTCGAACTGATCGTCTTTTCATCGGAATGGGGCGTGTAATATATCGTTGGAAAGCTCTTGACATCTACATGGCAAATATATACGATTTTTTTGCAAAATCATCACGGTTTAAAAGCAGTTTTGAAAAAACTGTTTTTTTCAAAACCGAAAATGTGAATCGTATTTTGGACTCAATTTTCAAACGGTTTGTCGGAATTGAGCAAATAAGATGGAGTTGGAAAGCTGGTAAAAATCCGCATCTTCCATATACCTACTTTTTTTCAAATTGTATACCATTTAAAAGTAATTTAAAAAACGGTGAAATTCTAGGCGAAACATATTTTCGTGTTTTTTTGCAACCGGTTTGTCGGATTGACGCAAATGATACGGCATTGGAAATCTATGGAAAATGCGCAACTTTTTTGTGTAGAAATGTTTTTCTAATTCCTTATGGTTTAAATTCGAATTCAAATACGGTCAAATTTGATTTCAAACGCGATTTTAAAGTTTGTCGAAATGGGGCAAATAATATACCGTTGGAAAGATATCGAAAATGCGAAACTTAGTCATGCTGAACGTTTTCTCAAGTTCGTAACCATTGAAGAGTAATTTTGAATATGATGAGACGGATCCTACTGTTTTCCCGTCTGAAAAACGGAGTACTCGTACTGATCCATGTGTGTGTCCGTACTGATTTACTTTTCATTGAGTAATTTTGGATGGTTCTGGAAAAAGATTACTTGAACCGATGTCCGTACAGGTTATACTGAGCGTGTCTTCACAGACTAGACTTTAGTCTGTTTTTTCGGTATCGTTTTCCTCGTGACTTTTCAATGGTTTACGATATCATCATCCCCAAGCTTGCATGGTTTTACATCGTTTAATTGAATGACATTTTTTAAAAGAAAAATGATTTGTGTTTTTTTAACTCTTAACATTTTTTCAACGATGTTTTGGACTTCTCCAATTCTACGACTTGAACTTTTACCATTTGAATTTTCATGGGGTTTTTTTGTTTGAGCTTTTTCCCAAAACTTATCAGGGAGGTCGTGTTGAACTTACAACTTCTAATTTGCGAACTTGTTGTGTTTTTACAATTCCAAAGGTAGGAAGCAGTAGGAGTTTCACCCAACAAAGGGGCTAATTACATAGAGCAGCCGCAGTAATACCACAGTCAGATCGATAGCTAGCAGCGATAGTAGTGATTACCAACACACATACACATGAACTGATGACAAACTTGCACACGACCTGACAAACAAGAAAATACATTAACGGACAAAAAGAATGCAATACACATCCCATGGCTAATGGGAGAGCTTTGTTTCATCTAGGTTCACCCATTTACTGAAAGTAGAACTTCTCAGTTTTATTAATTTGTGCTGATGTTTAAATGTTCACTATTTTGGCCTACATCAGAATACTGAGAACAAAACAATATTTGCTTATTAAGGCATAACACACAACACCTCTTGTGCTATAGGAAAACACATATACCGAGGGGAAATTGAACATAGAATCGCCAAGTAGGTGAACTGAAAAGCACACATAACATGTACTGAAAAAGAACACAACATCCTTAGCGCTGCATCGACCACCTATGACAAAGGTGAACGGCTTGCGGTGGTAGAGGCGAACAACCTGATGGCTGCGTTGTCGCACGACCTCGTGTGGCGGAGGCGAACGGCTTGTGGTGGCAAGGGTGAACGACTTGAGCATTGCATCATCGAACGGCCTTGTGTTGAGGTAGTGAACGGCCTGGACCATGAAGGTTCAAGCAGGTTCAAGAAGTGGTGTTGAGAGGCTGTGTGGGACTATATTTACTCAACTGCTTCATGCCACCATTCCTGCACAAACACAACAACCATCAAGTAGCATGCACAAGTTCATGTAAAAAGAACAACAAGTGCATGTACATTAACATTACATGTTCACAACGAAACCTAAAAAGATGTGTACTTTGAAATACTTCATTTTACTTCCCAAATACTTCATTTGTTTTGAAATATGAACTTATATATTTATTTCTGTAGAACTTATTATGTTTTCCCTCCAAACTACAAGAACATGATTGGTTTACTTACCACAAAATATTTTATTCAAATACTTTCTGTTTTTTTATAAGCAAACTGATGGAAATCTTGACAGTGCACTTCGGTATTTTATTCAAGGTGAACTGATGTATTTGCAATACATAGTTACATACTACATCAAGGTGATATCTCTATACTTACAAACTTTATGGAAGGTGAACTCATAATTTTTCTTTTTGAACTTTGTTTCTTTTTTCTTCGAACTGGTACCAATTTCCACCATGTACTTGTGTGATTTTATTTTCAAACAATACAAGACAAGAGCTTTATTTACATCGTCGATACATGTCCAACCATTTCATTTCTGGAAAGCAAGCAAATGTCTTTATCCTATTTATATAACCCAACCTTTTTTGTAGAAGTGAAGCACAACCCGATCCCACCACCCCGAGCATGCCACCGTCGTGCCCATCGCCGAGCGCGCCGCCGCCGGCCACCTGCCTAGCGCCGCCCCCCCTTCCCCAGCACACATCGGCCGGCCACTGCCTCAGCACGCCGCCGTCGCCCCACTGCCCCAGCGCGCTGCCTCCATGACCTCCCTCCCCCAGTGTGCCACCGCCTACCCCTGCCTCCGTGCGCCACCACCTACCTCCGAGCGCCGCGGATCTTCGCGCACAACTGGCCACCGCTGCCTCCCGCGCCAACTATGTCCTGAGACTAGCCATGGTGGTGGATCCAAGATCCACCGAGGGAAAAGGGGAGCCGCTGCTCCCTGTTGATGGCCGGTCCTTGCCACGGGCCGCCGCACTCCCGACATGTCCCGAGCACCAGCACCCCTAGAGGCTCGCTCCCCTGCACCCTTGAACCAGCGCCATCCACCACTCGAGCAGGGTGGCAATGGTGACAACATCCAGCGGCCCTCGTCTGCCTCTGCTCGCCCTGCCTTCATCACCGACCAACCGTGCAAATCCATGTAAAATGAGTTCAGGTAAGTTTAGATGCCTGTACAAAGTTCAGCCAAGATTCAAGCACATTTCCTGCTGGCCACACAATTCTTGAACTGACGGCCTTGACTTACGCGTGCTGATGGCCACCTGCCTAGGCAAGCACATTTCCTTGCTTGCCTAGCTGCTAGCCGGATTCTTGTTCTATTATGGGTGCCGTGGTTATTTGAACTTTAATTGCAGCTGCTATTACAGTGTGTGCGTACATGACTGAAACTGTATGATGTGTGTGCCATGGTTACCTGAACTTCAATTCTAGCTACTATTCAAATCTAATACTAGCACGTACAAGACTGGACTCGTACTACTACGTACTAGTGTGCCATTTTGCTTATTCTTTCCTTGAACTTTGCATGCTCTCTATTCTTTCAGAGATATGTTCAAAGCTAGTTCCTCAGAGGTGTATTCTTTCATAGATATGTTAAAGCTAGTTTTTTATTCTTTCGGAGATATTTTATTTTCATACTTTCAACTCACATTGTAGCTTTTTTCAGTTCAATGGATTCCAAAAAGGAAAAAACTGTGGATGGGTGAGAAACCAACTTCTTGTACAGTTGTGCCATGACCATTGGACGACCCCGACCACCGGCACCACAGCTTCCCGACCTCCTGCTTGCATCGCCATCACCCGGTGGGGCTCTGCCGCCGGAGCACCCTGGCCATTCACAGCCACCACCCCAAGCCGTTCAACGCCACCACCCCAAGCCATTCATTGCCAGCAGCACTCTGGATCCCACCCCTCGCCCTAGGAGTTTCAGTCCAACTTGAGCTCCCTGAGATGATCATATAATTAACTTCAAAATTACTACATGGTCCATGTATTTTACAGCAAGTCCATGTAGTGCTACATGCACAGTAAAAAAATTACTCCTAGTGAGAGTTCATTTAAATCCTGGTCAGTTCATCTCCTCAAAACATATTTACTTCTGCTCTGCTCTGATCTTTCTCCTGAATTGTTGATGCTGCATCCTCTCTCTCATGATGTGATGTTGTTGATCTCTTGTAGCTAAAACATGGTCCCATAAACATCCTATAGCTGACCACAATCTGTAATTTTGAAACTACATGTTGTCCTGGTCCTTGAGCATCTTGCAGGCTGACAAAAAAAAGTGCACTATCATTATGATCTTACTTTGACAATTATTACATGGATGATGGATGCTGTAGCAAACTAGATGAAAGTAACGGAGGACACCAAGTGTACAGCAACCGAAACTAAACCTCGTTTTATTGTTAGGAAGAGAGGAGCCCCAGCCGGATACAAGAGGAGGACATCGATGGCTCTCGGCGGCCATCGACGGGGACTTGAATGCCCCAACCCTCAAAGCTCGCCTCATCTTCTACAGGCAACAGGGGGCGTCTTCCCTCCTGGCGCCCGTAGGCCTATCAGGCAGCCTCGGCTCGCCGTCGTCGGGATCTGGCCAACACCGGCTCCTAGCGTTGGATCCGTTAGTGCCGGATCTCGCCGCTGCAGGATGCGAGGAAGAGGATGAGGTACAGCATGCAACAACGAAAGAAGGTGCAGAGCCATCAACTAGATTTTGTTTGGTTAAAGAAGGTACAGGGTCGACGACTGTATTTAGATCATAATAGGATCGGTTCGCGTTGGTGGCGCAGTAGTGCTGCGTAGGCAGCTGCTACCAATCTTCACCAAGCTGGGTGAAGCCTTCAAGGTGAGCTGATCGATTGCTTTTTGTCCACTGTCACCCTATTTAAGATTACTGACCTGGTTCATCTTATTTCTCTTGTTGATGCAAACCTGCTCACTTCACAAGCCACGCTCACAGCCACCATCGTAAACTTCGTGGCTGGCCTGCTTATCTTTACTGTATTCTAAATCGGAGGCAGTGCACGACCCAATGTTTGACTTTGAACATTGACACTGACGACGGACTCAAGCACCACCACATTCTTGGTACATAGACCGGCACCTCTAAGGGCTTACCCGAGATGTTTTTTAGCCATTTAACAACTGATTTTGTCATGGGATAAATTTTGATGGATAAGATTTTAACAAGGTATAGAGCAATGTAGTCGAGATGACACAGTTATGCAAAATGTATAGACAGAATTTGAGACATTTACATTGGCAGGTCTATTCACTGATTATTTATTTACTCTGTATTCATCAAAATTTATTTATTTTGTACTACATTGTAGAGTGTTCGATTGACGCAAGCAGAGATGGCCATGATGCTAGCTGATAGCACTTGCTAACTGAAGAAGTTTGCATACCTTTTCTCAAATTAAAAAAAGAGTTTCTTACCAACTAATGAGCCTACCAGTTATAGGCCAATTGCTCTAACTCAACTTTAGGTCGGTACTTTCCTGTAGAGTATACCTCTGTAATTCTCCATCCAAGATACTAAAGTTTATGCTTCGCTGCTTGCACACACTGTAATTCAAGGCAGATCTAGATTACATCCCTAAGCAACCCACCTATATTGGTAAATTTTTATTGTGTTATTTAAATTAAAAAAATTAATGTACTCTGCTGGAGAAGTCACAAGCCATATTAATTTCAGAAGAAAACATTTCTAATTAGTGGTTAAGGTCTTGTTGTGTCTAAAATGAAAATTCCAAACAAAAACAGAGGCACAATTTGTATTTATACGATGAATAATGGAAATTTCAATTGCTAAATTTAACTAAGGTTTTTAGAATAAATTGTGGTCTCTGAGCTCGTCTCACGTAATCCATCAACTAAATGTATTATATTAGCATGTCTAATTCATAAGTGCAACCAGCAATTAGTTTAATTTTCCCCTCAAATAAAAACAATTAGAGTTTTGTTTGATTTAAATTAACAAAGTGGCCTACACATTATTTATATGCACTATAGTTATTTTGTTCTCAATGGCTTGATTTGAACGCCGAAATTTTATTATCCCTTATTTCGTTGCAACGCACGGGCCCTTTTGCTAGTATATATATATACTCTATACATAAAGAGAGAGCATCACTATTCTGATCCCGGAATCAGAATAACTATTTGGATCAAGATCAGCATAGGGGCGATCGGACTTTCCTGAGATCCCCCGATCGGTAAAACAAAAGAAAAAAAACCACCCACCCGCTAGCCACAACCCCTCCCCTAACCTCCCCCGATCCCATCTGGCCCCTCGCCCCGATGTGCATCGCCGCCGCAGCCTCCCTCCCTGCCCCGATGTGCATCGCCGCCGCAGCCTCCCTCCCTGCCCCGTGCCGCCACCGGGCCCCGGCCACCTCCCGCGCCGCTGCCGGGCCCCGGCCACCTCGCCCGCCGCCGGCTGGCCCCGGCCACCTACAACGCCGCCATCTGGCCCCTCCCCTGCCGTAATCCAGCCCGAGCGAGCCCATCACCGATTGCTTCTTGCCCCGCGGCGGAGCGCCGCCGCACACCCACCCACAACTACAACTCCCCCGCCCCGCCCACATCGACCACACACGGTGCTCGGTCATGGGGACAACTGAGCGGAGCTCGAGCTCTGGCTCCTCTCTCCTCTTGCGCGCCACCGGCCATTGCACCTCGCCGCGGTACACTCGGCCAAGGGGGCAACCAAGCGGCGCCTGAGCTCCGGCTCCTTTCTCCTGTTGCACGGGCACCAGCCCTTGCCGCACGCCTTGGTGCACATCCGCGCCCATTGGCCCCTCTCTGCTGGCCCGCCAGCCACTACGGCGGCGCTCCGGCGACTTCTCCACTCCTGTCTGCGTGTTGCGGCATGGACGAACACCTCCTCCCTTCTAATGGCAAAAATGGGGAAAGGAGCAGCTTCAGTTTAAAAAATGCGGCAGCTTCAGTTCAGTTTGTAAGAAAGGAGCAAAAAAGAAAGGTTGCTGGGCTCGTTTGTGCACTATGTGCATAAAAATGGGGAAAGTTAAACTTCATTATTATTGCTTGCTCCTCCAGTGGCCGGATCTCGCCACCATGACCACTCAACTCGTGTTGTCGGCGACCTGCCAAAGCCTAAGCGACGACCTGTCCGAGGCCTAAGCATGAACTTCATGCTTGAATCTTCTCCAAATTGATATTGCCTGCAACGGGGAGGGGCAAGCCTGTAGTCCAGCACTATGAAGGGAGGAACTGCTTCTACTTCTCTTCTGAAATCTCAATGCCATGTCTTGATTTTCAGAGGTAGTTTTTGGTTTGTACCAACCATTTAAGATGGTATCTCATCTGAATGTGGTATGCATGCAGGCCAGCGTTCTCAAGTGGCAGAGCGGAGCCGTTTGCCTAGCGGGTCGAGCAGGTCGTCAAGGGACAGCTCAATGCATATTTCTACAATCAAAGGTAGTTTCTTTGATTTTGCTAAACTGATTCCATTCTTCTGATTTCTTGCAGGAGTTCAATGTATATTACACAAGAAGAAAAAACAAACACTAGGTTGCAGATGTTGTGTTTTGTGATTGTCGTAGGCTGACAGCCAAGACGACGTCCTCCACATTTCCTACCAGCTCCGCCCAATCCCAGCACCGGCGCGACCCCAGTACGGCGCCTGATTCCGCCATCCCGCATCCGCCTGCATACGCCAGTGTGCCACCACTAACGACCTGCCCGACCCCCCTGGCCTCCTACAAACTGCTGCTGCTCCCTGTACTTTTTTGGATGAAGTTAGGTGATGTAGCTATCTTTGGATGTAGCAACACAACTATGGATATTGTGATGATGCTATTAGTCCAGTGTACATACTACAGAGTTACATACGTAATCACGTACTGCTGAAATTGATCTCTAGTAGTACATCTGACAGTGTGTTTTATAACCTTCTCTTTTCGCTTGATCTTGCCAGCACCACTCGACCGAGAAACACGATGACAGTGACACGCTGGGCGAAATCGGAGAGAAGGCAAGGACGAGGCGGAGGAGTTCCTGAAGATGGCCAAGGAGAAGACTGACGACGTTGCCGAGGGCGCAAAGGAGACAGTGCAGGAGACCAAGGAGGTGGTGCTCGGCGAGTCCGACGATGACATGGACAAGTTCAAGCAGCGGGTCGAGCAGGGGAGCTACGATCAGAAATAAGTGAGAGAGAGGTGTTCCCTTGGTGTATGTTCGCGCGCAGTCATGGCCTGCCCAAAGCCATTAGCTCTGCAATTTGTATGTCAACCACTAGGCTTGGTATCTGTATGTGTAATGTGATCTTGGTACTATACAACTTGCCACTTCCCGCAGAATAAGTAATATTGAGCTTCTGAATGTTTTTTCTTCTCGTCTGAACTTGGATGCACTTTGCAAGAATGTCACTATATGTTCAACAGGGCATTTGCTTTGATATAAAAAATGAATTTGGATGAGTTGCTATAAAATAGAATGTGTGGCAGGTCGGATACAAAAACAACTGAAGTTCAAAGATAATAGTTGGATACAAAAATAGCTGAAGTTCAAAGATAACAAACTGGATAAAAAACCAGGGAAACTGTATCAAAAATGTATTTGAACAAGAGTTATGTGGCGTGTGCAGAATTAGATCAAAAAATAAGAAGATAACAATGAAAGTGTGTGGTGTGTGTGTGTGTGTGTGATGTAGATATAGAGTACTAGCTGGTGGGCATGTTCAGTTGTATCTCCAGGTGCAAAAAGCTGGTGTGTTTGTCCACTCGTTTCAGTTTCACAGGTTGGTTTTCTCCCAAGTTTATCTCAAAATGCATCAACGCTGTGGAGATTTTCCCTATTTCTAAAAAGTAAAACCAAGAAGGTTAAATTAAAAGAACAGAGCAGTTCGATGCTCATTAAAACTTTTGGATTTTTCTTGTTTTTTAAAAAATACCCAAATATTATAAAAGTTAGATTTTCCTCGTTTCTAAAAAAATAAGAGAGAAGGCCAACTCAAAATAACAGAGCAGTCTAAAAGAAGTTTATAAAAAATGGATTAAAACAACTAGAAAATTTGAAATAACCGAGAGGTCAAAAAATGTAGAAGTTCAAATTTGACAACCCTAAAAGTTCAATTTCAAATAATTGAGAAGGTAAAAAAACTAGAAGTTCAAATTTAAAAACCTAGAAAATGGTTTCCTTATGTAAAACCATATATTTCTAAGAAGTTCAAAGTAAAAAAAATTCGAAGGTAAAAAAACTTAGATGTTTTGTCGTTACTAAATAATAAAATGAAGAAGTTCAAATAAAAAATGAAAAACAAAAAAGTTTTAAGAGAATTTTCTCATTTTTAAACCGAAACACACAGAAGTCCAAATTGATAACTGTCGAAAGTTCACGTATTGCATGTTGTGCATTTCTTATGAGAAAAAAAAGAACGAAAAAGGCAAAGTTTAAGTGCTCTTCCCTCGGAAGTTCAAAAATTCTTGTTATTAAAGAAAACTCAGATTTTCCTCGTTATTAAAGAATGGAAACAACAAGTTCAAAAATTAAATAATAAGAAGTTCAACTTTTAATAATAGAGCGCTTCAAAATTTCGTAAAAAATATATTAAGAAATAAAATCAAGAAGTCTATATTAAAAAGATGGAGAAGTTTGATGATTATAGAAAACTCAGATTTTCCTTGCTATTAAAGAATGAAAACAAGAAGTTCAAAAATAAAAAACAAGAAGTTCAACTTTTAAAAATATAATGCTTCAAAATTTCTTAAAAAAGGATTAAGAAATAAAACCAGGAAGTCCATATTAAAAAGATGGAGAAGTTCGATGTAACGCCCCGGACACACCCGCCGGTGGTCGTTACTCCTGGCCCCACAGATCAATACTAGTCTTTTCTGCGCACTTTGTCCTTACTCGTGCGCACTCGGGAGCAACTTCCCGGTCGGCCACCCATTCTGACACTACTCCAAGCTGAGCAAGCTTAACTTTGGAGTTCTGTCCGAATGGGCTCCCGAAAAAGAAGGAATTCCTTATTGATATGAGTATTCTATCATCCCTAATAAGCGAGGCCATCACATACACCCCCACTCAGAGGAACCGACGTCCTCGTCGGGCCACAGGAACGTTCCCTTTGGCACATACGTCTGTGCATCCAGTCCGGTACATGTACCATGCCGTGTGCCATGACGGGTCACAAACGTCATGAACAATATGGCCGCGCACCTGTCCGCAAACATCCGTTTAACCGCAAGGGTCGGCTCTGATACCAACTTGTAACACCCATGATGCGTCTATATCTCCCACGTGTCGGAGCACGACTTAGAGGCATAGCCGCATAGTAGGCATGTCCCAAGAGGGGTAATCTGTACACATCCCATGCACTGAATAAGAAAGAGGTAAAGAGTCGGCTTACAATCGCCACTTCACACAATACATAAATATAGCATTACATCATCCAGCATACAATCAAGGTCCGTCTAGGGAACCAAAATAAAGGCATACGTCCCCGATCGCCCCAACTAGGCTCCACTACTGATCGTCTGGAAAAGAAACATAGTAACGTCCTGAATCCTCGTCGAACTCCCACTTGAGTTCGGTCGCATCTCCTGTAATGGCATCATCGGCACTTGCATCTGATTTTGGAAGTAATCTGTGAGTCACGGGGACTCAGCAATCTCACACCCTCGTGAGCAAGACTATTTAAGCTTATGGGTAGGAAAGGTAGTGAGGTGGAGCTGCAGCAAGCACTAGCATATATGGTGGCTAACTTACGCAAATGAGAGCGAGAAGAGAAGCAAAGCACGGTCGAGAAGCTATAAAGATCAAGAAGTGATCCTGAAACTACTTACGTTCAAGCATAACACGAGACCGTGTTCTCTTCTCGGACTCCGCCGAAAAGAGACCATCACGGGTACACACGCTGTTGATTCATTTTAATTAAGTTAAGTGTCAGGTTTTCTACAACCGGATATTAACAAATTCCCATCTGCCCATAACCGCGGGCATGGCTTTCGAAAGTTCAAAACCCTCCAGGGGTGTCCCAATTTAGCCCATCACAAGCTCTCACGGTCAATGAAGGATATTCCTTCTCCCAGGGTGACCCGATCGGACTCGGAATCCCGGTTACAAGACATTTCAACAATGGTAAAATAAGACCAACAAAGCCGCCCGATGTGCCGAAAAATCCCGATAGGAGTCACACGTATCTCGTTCTCAGGGCACACCGGATGAGCCAGACATTGGGTTGGCATAGACCCTGGTTGCCCAGGGGGCGCCGGACATCGCTCACGTTGGACCAACACTTAGAGAAGCATTGGCCCCCGGGGAGGGGGGGTTAAAATAAAGATGACCCTTGAGTCCGCGAAACCCAAGGGAAAAAGGCTTAGGTGGCAAATGGTAAAACCGAGGTTGGGCCTTGTTGGAGGAGTTTTATTCAAGGCGAACTGTCAAGGGGTTCCCATTATAACCCAACTGCGTAAGGAACGCAAAATCAAGGGACATAACACCGGTATGATGAAAACTAAGGCGGCAAGAGTGGAACAAAACACCAGGCATAAGGCCGAGCCTTCCATCCTTTACCAACTATATAGGTGCATTAAGTAAACAAGATATAATAATGATATCCCAACAATAAACATGTTCCAACAAGGAACAACTCCATCTTCACCTGCAACTAGCAACGCTATAAGAGGGGTTGAGCAAAGCGGTAACATAGCCAAACAACGGTTTGCTAGGACAAGGTGGGTTAGATACTTGACATGGCAATATGGGAGGCATGATAAAGCATGTGGTAGGTATTGCGGCATAGCAATAGAGCGAGCAACTAGCAAGCAAAGATAGAAGTGATTTCGAGGGTATGGTCATCTTGCCTGCAAAGTTCTCCGAGTTGACGTAAGCTTGATCCTCGTAAGCGTACTCAACGGGTTCCTCGATCACTTACTCGTCTCCCGGCTCTACCCAAGGTAAGAACACAAGCAAAGGAAACAACAATCAACCACGGTGTAATGCGCAAGCAACATGATGCAAAATATGGCATGATATGCGGGATGGGATATGCAATGCATATGCATGCTCCGGAAGGAAAAGATTCAACCAAGCCTCAACTTGGCAAACCAAGAGTGCCTCCGGAAAGATGAGTTGATTTCGGATGAAATCGATATAAAGATCACCGGAATCGGATGCACGGTTTGTAAATGGCAAGCAAAACAAGAATGACACAATTCTGCGATTAACAGCACGATGCCATCTAGAATGCAACAAGAAACTAAGCTACTGCACTCCAACATAGCAACAAAGCACATGGCAGTGATCTTCTCAAGATGCTTGACAAAGATGAACACAGAGCTACGGCTAAATCACACAATAGCAGGTTCAAAAAAGCATGACAAAAGTGCAAAAGATAGCAACATCACAGACTTAGTGAAAATACTATCATGTCAGGAATTAACATCAGGAAGCAATGTTTAGAGCAAGATAACAACATGCTACAGGATCAGAACATAGCAACACAAGGCATGGCATGAATCTACTTAAAGCATATAACAAAAGTCCCTTACTGACCATAAGCCAAAAGGGCACAGAAAACATGATGGCACACATGTTAACATAGCAAGTTTCGTTAACAGATTCAGACTTAGCAGAAAACTGGACATGGCAAAAAACAGAGTTACGTAGGCATGTTTGCGAGCTCGATGCACTCAACACAAGTCATTGCATGACAAGCTAAGCATACTACCAGCAAGAAGACATGTTCAAGAAGCTAACCAAAGCAAGAACAAGCTCATAGCATGCATGTATCAACTACAACAACCTTGGAAAAATTGATTAACACATAAACAATCTGTCAGGAACATTTTATAGCAAAAGTAGAGCAAGATTGAGTCATGCTAGGGTACTCCATAAAAGCAAAAAGGGACATGGATGGATAGAGCACAACCATATGCCCAAATCATCCTTACTGAACATACTCAAAAGAGGCATGGATCTCTCTGTAGCAACATGAATACATGGCATAAAAATAACAGCAGGGAAAAGACTTAGTGAAATTCAAGTCCCTGAAATCAGCAACATCACGAGAGCTACTTTGCATGCTTGTGCTAGTCACCACATTGATCACAAAAATACATGAAATACACCCCTGTAAAGATGGCATGGCATATCCCAAAACACATGTAGAGCTCATGACCATATGCAACACACAATAATCATGG